CATCCTGATCTACTGGAAACACGTTCTCTTTAGCATTTCTTTTTTGTGTGTGTTCCAGTGTGTTAAAATCATTCACTTATCTTTGAGCTACTTTTCTAGTAAGGGATAAAAATGAAGGACTAATTCCTGCACTTACAAAGGAATCAGACCACAAAGCTTTCCCATCTCTAAATGTGATGACTAACCTATCTGAAAAAGAAATACCACTGAAGTTTGTTTGTTTGTTTGTTTGTTTGTTTTTCCCCTCTGCAGGTAAAATTATCCGGAAACAGAAGATAATGCTAACCTGATTATTTGGTCTGCACTGTTAAAAAGAATAACTGAAATTCAGAAATTACTCAGCCCTTTAAAACTTAGGATGAATCACTAAAGTTCTAATATTCTGGGACTGCTTCTATACCAACAACACTACTCTAACTTTTTCAACTTATATTGTCATTTAATTTATCAAGGGATCCTATCTCTTTTCTGTAGGATTACCTGAATGCATTAAGATAAAAAAAATACTTTCATAGAAAGAACTAGACCATAATTTTAAAAAGGTATTTGATAATATACTAAAGTATATATAGGAATTTACACAGTGGGGAGATCAATATGAATGGGAGCTATCAGCAAAGTTTTACAAAGGAGGTAAGATTTCAGAAATGTCTTGGGAAAAAGAGAGACTTTGAACTGTGTCCTAAAATGAAACAGAAGAACCAAAATGGTTATAGGGAGAAGATGGAAGATGGGGGTATACTACTGTGCTAAAATAATCCTGCATGTATTTAACTGATAAAGCGAGGACTTATGGAGGCCACTGATAAGGAAAATATAAAAATATCTGGATCAACATAGCCATTCTAGATGAGAATTGTTGCATTTTTGAATGGCTATTCTGGCAGGAATGACAACATGTGATACACATCAACCCTCCGTCTTAGACCCTCTTTATAATAGCTAGCACAAAATAATCTGTCTTTTCCACAAATATTTTCCCTGGTTAGTGGTTTCTATTTTTGTCTCTGATGCTTTATTGTTTCTCTTTTGCATGGCATGTATATTGTCATCTGTACTTGAGTGAAATGGAAATAGGAGTCCTGGCTTCTAGCTCTGTCTAGAATTCCCAAGCTCACATTGTGATGTTGGGCAAGTCACATTATTATTCTAGGACTCGTATACCTCATCTGTAAGAGGGTTGGATTAGACAATTTCTCAGGTTGTATTTGTTGCCAGTATTTTATGACTCATGATTCCAAGTGAGCCTGCCCCTGTTCACAAGGCCATTTTGCTTGTTTTATTAAAAGAGTGGCAATAACTGCATATTTGCAGTTCAGTCAGTCATCAATAAAACTGTAAAATCTACAAATACCTTGGATTTGAAATATTATTATTTTGATAAAAATGCATCCATGTCTCCTGTGGTTATTCAGCAGCTTGATGAATCCTACCAACTTCAGAATTCCAGAGAGATGCACCCTAATGTCCACCTGGGTGTCAGTATCCTTGGACAGCATGCTTCAAAATCAATCTTCAGTGTAGCTGTTTTTACAAGAAAGATGATCCTCCTGCAATGATAAAAATATACTGCTTTCTCTCCGCTGTATTCAGCCAGAGCCCAGAATCTGATAAATGTGTTTATCGCAGGTTCTTCAGATGTCCCGCATTTGTAAACCTCCACATTGTTTATGTTTCCTCTCATGCTGCTGAAGATACTGTGCTGGGTCCTGTCCTTCTGTGTTCTTGGAGGAAAACGGGGAGCTCTCAGTTTGTGACTAGTGAGCAAAGACAGAGTCAAAGGGCTGTCGCTCAGGCTGCCTCTTGCCCGCTCATTGTCTCTTTCTATTACATTTGCACTTTGAGGGACATTTGCCAGATCCAGACTCTCTGGACCCCTGTTATTTGAGTGTCTTTTCTCACCTTCAACATGATCTGGACTGATGTTTTCATTTGTTAAAAACAACAGGAACATTTACTGGGAAACTTTTGCTGGAATCATTTCAGGTCATCATAGCTATTTATTCTCTGTCATAAACTATAATTCTCCGTTTCCCTTACTCCCACGTCAGGGGAGTTGGTGGTTTATGGTGGACAGTAGTGGAATTTGAGGGAACAGTGGAAGATTTCAAAGAACTACTGAGAGATTATGTAGCAGGTTGTAGCACTAAGAACAAAACGTAAAATATGCTTGGTCTTGATCAGAGTCTGGCAGTGCAAAAAGAAATAGGCTTATAAAACAGCATAAAGGATTTAGAATTTGTGGTTTACCTGGGAAAGAATTTTCTTCAAGGGAAGAAAACAAATCATGGGATTGGCTTAATAAGGAATTTCCATTATATGATTAAAAATAATAGCCTGGGGTCTGTCTAATTGGCCTTAGTTTGGAGAACACAAGTAAGCTAAGGATTTTTTGTAGACTTCTGTTTAATGGGGGCATGAAATTCAGGTTATGGTTCTGTCACAAAGGCCTGGATGACCTAGAAAGACCTGTAGTGCAAGACACAGAACTGTAGGCAAAAGGATTTGGAAAAAAGAGTGGGAAATAGAGGAAGGTTTCCAAATAATTTCACAGGGAGGAGAACCAAATGCAAGACAACTGCTAAAAGGTATTTGGTCCTAGGTGTTTGAATTCTAGCACTGATATTACTGTAAACTAATTCTGCTAATAGCTAAATAATGGTATAATCAGTTATGCTGGTTGGAATATTCTAGGCCTTGATAGACCCCAGAAATTATTATTAAATTGGCTCAATTCTCAAGATGCTGCTGATCTGATGTTCTTACTGAGAGTATCAGAGAAGTGCCATCAGGGCCGAGCCCGTGGCGCACTCGGGAGAGTGCGGCGCTGGGAGCGCTACTCCCACCGCGGGTTCGGGTCCTATATAGGGATGACCGGTGCGCTCACAGCACTCACTGGCTGAGTGCGGTGCAGCCAGTCTCAAAAAGGACAAAAAAAAAAAAGAGAGAAGTGCCATCAAAGCACCACAGATGTGAAAAACCAGAGAGGTGAATAACTGAGCACAACCATGAGGCACAGAAGGAACAGGCGTCAGCAGCTCCTTGGCTGGAGAAGTCTGGTTGAGATCATATGATTATTTTTCTATAGACACACTTTTCTAAGGACAAGACAAATTTAATGTTTTCCCTGAAAACAAATTCAACAAGCACTTACCATATCTGGGTGCTTTAATTGTCAAGAGGAAATGTGCAGCATTGACAAAGAAGGGGTCTTGAGCAAAAAGACATAAAGGCCTCAGTTGTCAGGCACTGAGAGATCTGGACTAGGATCTCCTGACCTTAAGCTGCATTTTTGAACCCCCCCCCCCCCCACAGATGTAGAAAATGCCCTCAATTTGGGGCCGGCCCGGTGGCGCACTGCTACAGTTCGCCACTTGGGAGCATGGCGGTGCTCCCGCCGAGGGGTCGGATCCCACATACAGACCGGCCGCTCACTGTCTGAGTGAGGTACGGGCGCGACACTGAGGGTTGCTATCCGTTGCCGGTCACGAAATAAGACAAAAAGGAAAAAAAAAAAAAGAAAAGAAAATGCCCTCAATTTGGGGCCGGCCCGGTGGCGCACTGCTACAGTTCGCCACTTGGGAGCATGGCGGTGCTCCCGCCGAGGGGTCGGATCCCACATACAGACCGGCCGCTCACTGTCTGAGTGAGGTACGGGCGCGACACTGAGGGTTGCTATCCGTTGCCGGTCACGAAAAAAGACAAAAAGGAAAAAAAAAAAAAGAAAAGAAAATGCCCTCAATTTGTAATAAGAATAATATTATAGCTAAGGTAGGTGCTGTCACTCTTAGGAGCGTGACTTGGCGCTAGTAGTTTTGTTGAGTATGTTGTATGTTAATAATCAGAGAGAATCAGGAGACGTTGCATATTAGAAAAAATGGCTGACAGCTATTTCTGTTGCATGTGGAGCAAGTGCCAAGCTCTCTTTTCTTCCCATCCTCACTCCAACTCCTCATAATTTTCCTTCAGACCGAGCCTGTGACCTGGGCCTTGGAGCTCCATGGGCTCAGTGGCAGCTCAGGCCACGGGGTGAGGGTTTGAAGGGGGTGTGAGCACAGCTGGTATTCTGCTCAGTTTCATGCATCCATCACTCCTGACTGGGGCTGGGTTGGGGGCGGCAGGTCAGGAGCGTACTACTGATGATTAGCTTGCCAGGATATCTTCAGGGGAACTCAGAGAAAATCAAGGTGAACTCTTGACAGGTGAAAACGTGGGGTTGTGATTTTCCAAAGGTCCCTAAGATCTCAGGGCCCTAGAAGTCAAGTTTGAGTGAAACTGTTTTGGGAATCTTTTGATACTGTTCCTCATTCTTGGCTTCTCATAGAGTGAGTCCCAGGCTAGGGTTAGCATGAGTTGATGGTGTTGTAGCACTAGCCCTGACCTAGGCAGAAGCCTGCCTGAGCAGCAGCATGGAGCCTTGAGTGAATGCTGTTAGGAGTTACTTGCTGCTTCAAAGAGAATGCAGGGTAAAACAGAAATCCTTCTAATTTGGTTTGAACGTGGTGTCTTCTCTCTATCTCTGCATTTGTATTCACATGTACATTTTGGGGAGAAGCAACCACAAGGTTAGTTAGTCTACTTGGTTATAAAACTATGTGAATGGAAATACATTGTCTAAGACAAATAAGGCTGCAATGATCTACTTTTCTTTCCCCATCTTTAGAGAAGTCCAGAGAACACGGGCAGGAGTGAGATTTCCCTTTAGCCCTTTAACAAAAACAGGCTTCAAGGAGAGTGCAAGTAATGTCTGTCTGGAAGTTCAGGTCTAGTCCTAGATTTGGAAGCAACCACCTAGCATCAGAACTCCTGGGGGTTGTTGGCGTATGAACTTGTGAGCACCAAAGCCCACATTTGTGCACAGAATGTGGCATTTTCTATAGTACTTTGATAAGGATGTGAGCAAATGAAGCAGTTTCTCACTATAGATACATTGTTAAAAAGTGTTAACTGGGACCCCTCAAGCAAATTTGGCTCCTTATCATCAATTTCTTCTATTCCAGATGATCAGCTGAACTCAGAGGAAAAGAAGAAGAGGAAGCAGCGGAGAAACAGGACAACCTTCAATAGCAGCCAGCTGCAGGCTTTGGAGCGTGTCTTTGAGCGGACACACTACCCTGATGCTTTTGTGCGAGAAGACCTGGCCCGCCGGGTGAACCTCACCGAGGCCAGAGTGCAGGTAACGCGGGCTGTGGGAGGCTGGCTCCAAGTATGCTCATCCTCAGAGGCCCACCTCTGAAAGTGGTTTAAAATTACAGGTTGTGGGTTTCAGACTGAAGCAGCTACTAATAAGGGTTACAAATGGGCAGCACGAGAACAGAATCCAGTTTCCAGCTGTGTTTCTATGAGCAGCATAGTATTCTTAAAAATCAAATTGAATGCCTTTAGGTAGGGCAGAATATACCCTGCTACAGGTCTCTCTCCTCTCCATTGTTTCCGACCCTTCCGGATTCAAGTTATATATGTCGACCATGTGAGCGTTTATTTGACTTGCACCCTCAGCTCTCCAGTGGAGCTCTAGAGTGGCCAAAGAGATGAACTCTCTGTCCCCGTCCCCCCCTTCAGTTTTCCTTCCTGTCCCCACTTCAGTTTTCCTCCCCAGCCTTTGGGAATGTACAAGAAACTTGTTATAAATACACATAATTATGAACATCGGTGGGAGCGGGAAATGAACACATAGGAACTGAATTAAGAGCACGTTCAAGGAGATGATTTTATTTATGCTTAATATCTCTGTGAAGTGAAAAAGGGTAAGAGTATGTAAAATAGAGTAAAGGGAGAATAGCGATTCTTTCTGACATGTATCCCATACATCAACATCAAGCCAGATATCTAGAAAATAATACAACCTGTGATTAGTAGTAATCATCATCATCATCATCATCATCATCATCATAATATGATAACTAACATTATTGAGTCCTTATATGCCAAGTAGTGTTCTTTACATAACTAATCTATTTAATCCTCATACCAATTCAATGATGTGAATAGTATTCCTTATATTACAAATGAGGAAACTGAGGCACAGAAAGGTGAAAGTATCTTGCAAAACATCACACGGGTAGGAGGTGGCTGAAATAGGATTTGAATGCAGGCATGCACACTGGAGTTCATGCTTTTAATCACTGCAATAGACTGGATAAATAAGACTGTCCTGGCTAAATGCTTTTTCAGGTAGTGCTGAAGGATCCTATTGTCTTTCATACGGCCAGTGGCAAGCTCTTGTTTTGATAAGAATGGTGGGTCAAATCTGTCTTGCCTTCCTGAAGAAATTACTGTTTGTATGTCTGTGTTCAGTCTGGATTTGAGGGATTTCTTTTTGCAAATAACCCTCTTGACCAAGGGGACTTGAGCTGGACCTCAAGGGTGTTGACCAGGACAAGGATTATGTCTGTGTCGCGAGGCACAATGTACTGTGAGAAACACTTGAGTTGATGCGGGGGTCCTGGAGGGAACTTCCTGTGAGGTCAGTGACAAAAGAAGAAACGTGTCTGGGCTGCGTGGGGCCCCCCAGGACAGGTTAGGAAGAAGTGTGAGTGAGGTGCCACATGACTGGTTGGCAATTCCTCAGGGCTCCAGCGAAGGTGATCCAGAGGGACAAAACTCAGGTCTGCTCTCTCCATCCCACCATCCAATGCACAACTATGAAGTTTGACTTCCCAGATCCTCTTCCCCCACGCTGCTTACCACAGCTCTCTAGCCATACTCTTAAACCCCTTCCTCTCTCCTAAAACCCCACATATCTTTTATGCCCCAACCTCAGTCTGCAGTGGTGTCATGAGTAACCTTAGACCAGCAACCCACAGTACCTTAAAGTACCACTTTTGCTATGATGATCTGAATTTTTTTCTGTTAATTAAAACATAAATATATAGTCGATTGTACATATTTGGGGGGAGGGTACAGCGTTGAAAATCCACACTTCTGTGCAACATGTGATGCTCAAATCAGTATAATTAGTATATTCATCATTATACAATGTAATCGTATTTCGTCATCCTTTGCTAATTCTTCCCTTACTCCCCTCCCCTTTTCCACCTCTAGTAACCTCAGTTCTATTTTCTCCTTTTGAAAGTTCAACATATTACTGTGATTGTTCTATCTTTCTTCCTTTCTTTTTTTATTTATTTGTTTATTTTTTAGCTCCCACTTATGAGTGAAGACATGCAGTATTTCTCTTTCTGAGCTTGGCTTATTTCACTTGATCTGAATTTTAAAAAGGGAATCTGGATAGGGCAATGGTGGACGTTAAAATGTGAAAGAACAATTTTGGGGTTGGGGGACTATCTTGCCCCTATCATAATAGGCAAATGCCTTTTTTTTATGTTGAAACTATTTTTTTCTTCCTTCTTTCCCATCCTACTAAGTCCTAATAACTTTCAGAGCTGTGAGCATTTCCTGAGCAGGATAGAATTCTCCCTCCATGACTTTAATCTTGTTCTGTGAAGTCTACCCTTTCCCAGTCTGAACAATCACTTCTGACTCTGGGCTTCTTTATATTTATGGCATTTATCATCGCATGACATGTATTATATGGAGTTGTATGTGAGCCAACTTCCCCCACTAGACTGTGAAGTCCTCTTGGATGGAGGCCATGTTTTATTCATCTTTGCAGACCTCATATTTCCCCCCTCCTTTTTTCTTCAAACATTTGTCAAGCACCTATTATACTCTTGGACCTGTTTTTGGTTTGCTGGGGATGAATAAGACATTGGCCTTCTCCTTAAGTATGTTATGGACTGGGGCAGAGAAGACAGATGTGCACCATATTCTTGTGATATGGTAAGATGATTCCTACATTAAAGGAATGTGCAAGAGTTAGTGAATGACCAGAGGAAGGTACGATCCAAACTGTCTAGGGAAAAAGGGAGACAATATATATTTATTAAGCACCTATTCTGGGCCAACTCTCCTAACTATCCTGTAAGTAGGTATTACTGTCTCCAGTGGATTGGGAGACAGAAGAGAAGAGAAACTAAATAAATATACAAGGATAAATCTTTAAAGAAGTGTAGTCAGCATTTTTCTTGAACTCTTTTAGACTTTAAGGTCATGTTCTTTCCACTACAATATTTCACAGAGGTGATGTTAAAAGTCGAATTTCGAAAAATGTATGGACTTTGACACCTGTATAAAGAGGGGAAGAATATCACAGGTGGAGGGAGCATCCGGTGCAAGGTGGGAGATAGCCTAACCCATTTGGAAGTCTTCAAGTTGTCTTGAGCCCAGGGTAGGACTTGGAATGATACTGGGCCAGTGTACGAGGTCAGAGTGATACAGATTGGCTGTATTGATGGACAAAGAGCTAATTTATGGACAGCTTTTGTTCTATGGTAAGAAATTTTAATTTTATTCTGTGAGTAATTGGGAGACAGCAGATGATTCAAAGCAGGGCAATGATACAATTATATTTATGTTTAAGATGATAACTCTTATAGCAATGAAGGAGCACATTAGAAACAGAAGAGTAGGGAGTCGAGGAGGCCAGAGAAGAGACATCCATATTCCACCTTTACCAATTTCCACCCAGGCCCTTCATGCCGCATAACTTTATGGGGCACCAGTCACATGGTATTTTATGTGAATAGTGCCCCCTAGAGTTGTGCAACTGCTCATTCCATACCACAGAATTTCTTCTCCCTTACCTTGTCATATGTTTCTATAATTGCACCTGCAGTACTTGTTTTGCAGTTTTTAAAATTTACATATCTTCCTTTAATGGATTGTGAGCTATCTAAAAGTGGAGAATAAATCTTTCTCATCTTTCTCTTCCCAGCATTTGTTACAGGGCCTGGACCACAGCAGGCACTAAGGATTTCTTAAATGAGTAAATAAATGAATAAAATTCCATTGCAGTCTAGTATAACCTCATTGAACCTGTTTCCTCAACTCTAAAATAGAAATAATAAAAGCTAATATGTGGAACAGTCATGATGACTAGAAGTAACATGTGTAATGTGTCTACATAATTTCCTAGCCCTAGTAGCACTTAATAAATAACAAGTTTATTTTTGGCTGTAGCAGATGCTGTCAATGCCACCCATGTCCCTCAAACCCTGCAATTAAATTTGGTCCAGTCAACTTCCAACCTTTAGGATCTGAATTTCTGTGCCAGAAGTTTCTTTTTAGAATTTTAGGAGACTGTCCAGCCTGTATTCGGCATGCCAGAAGTGCTGGAATATTAGTAATCAGTGACTGACTGGAGCCAATATACAAATACCCATCACCCCTCAGTGGGGACACCTCTGAAGTAAGTGTCTTACATTAGTCTTAGTCTTTAGAATCCCTGCAGGACTGAGCTACCACCAAGGTAGCTGGCTCAGTAGCACACTCTTCAATGACTGCTCTTTCTTCTCTGTTACTTCCACACTCCCCTAATGGTGCTCCTAGCACCTCCCAAATAAACCATTTTCTTCTTAAATCTTTGTCAGAGGAGATGGAGAATTTTCTTTAAACATCTGATTACTATTATGAAAGCAGATGAAGTTCTCACATTTGTGAAGAATTTTGAAAAAGCTTATAGAAAAGTCATTTTGTCTGTGGTAGAAGTCAAATAAGATTTTTGTTCTTTTTCTTGATTACGATTAAAACAGGGATTATAAACCATATTTTGCTGTCCCATGGATTCGTTTGAGATCTTATCTCTGGGGGTTTGATTTCTAAAATTACTTCACAGTCTCTTAACCCTTGAGAGCTCTATAGCATGGCCTACGGGGGAAGGATTGTGGCATATTTCTAATATTCTAGGAAGACTTCCATACCCGTTCTATATCTTCCTTGGGATGGCATCAGATAGTAAAATCAAACAGAATTTCATTCGTGTAACCTCTGTGTTTTTTCTCTCCCTCATCACGCCCTTTTCTCCTCCCAACAATCTTTCAGGTGTGGTTTCAGAACCGAAGAGCCAAGTTCCGCAGGAACGAGAGAGCCATGCTGGCCAATAAAAATGCTTCCCTCCTCAAATCCTACTCAGGAGACGTGACTGCTGTGGAGCAGCCCATCGTACCTCGTCCTGCTCCAAGGCCCACCGATTATCTCTCCTGGGGGACAGCCTCTCCGTACAGGTGAATGACTGGCCCACACTCCCTTGCTCCACTTCCACATGTTTCTCAGCGGTTGGTCACGTTCAAAGCTGCTTGTGCAGCTGGCTGACATTTCTTACTGGGTTAACCTCTTCAGAGACATTCAACTTGCTGACATCCCAGATTCTCACAGGAGATTCCTAGTTGCCCCAGGAGCAGGGTTTGGGGCAGAAGAGAGAGAGGCAGGCCATCAGCATCTCCTCTTGGACTCAGGAACTCTTGCAAAGGTTTTAAAGATGGGGAAGAATCTAAAAGAAAAGATCATTAAGCTGTGCCCAGTGTCCCTCTTGCAACCATTCTGGAGCAATACTTAACTCCATTTCCAAATTGACAATAGATTTGTTTTATTGTGCTCAAGTAGGGACTTAATTTCTAAGGTTCCAAGCGTAGGACCAAAGGTAAACTTCACAGTAAAACTGACTTCAAGTTGAAAGGAAGGGAGGGAGGGAGGGAGAAAGGAAGGAAAGAAAGAAGGAAAAGAGACAGAGAGGAGAGACTGACAGAGAAGGAAAGAAAATTCAAGTTCATTCAGATCACTTTCATGGCCACAGTTCTTTGTCAGTGGGTGGGAATTTCTTACGTTTCCAAACGCCTTCCTGTTCTATTGCTAATTCTTACCTACTTGTCTAAAGGCTTCTTTGGGGGTCATTGTGTGTGCATGTGTGTGTGTGTGTCTGTTTGTGCGTATGTGTTTCTTTTAAATAAAGGATGTATAATTTACACTAAACTTTTATATTAAAAAGGTAAGCATTTTTGAAGAAGCAAATAACAGAGTACTGTTTCAACCTCATAGAGAGGCTTTTAACTTCCATTTATTATGTTGTTCAGAAAAGATAGGTCAATGCCAGAAAAAATGCTGAGACACAAGTGCCGAACACATTGTGATCCGTCTAGAGTGCCTTTCTTTGAACCTTAACCTGAGTACTCTGAGAAACCAGGTCAAGGCTACACGTTCTCTATGGCTGATTTCAGTGAAGGAAGAAGTATTCACAAATTTATTTATTATGCTTCTGTTTACCTTTTTATTCTTAAAGTTAATTACTGGTTTAAGGAGAGACTTTTAACTAATTATAGGAGATAATGTTCAGCTGAAGCCGAACTCCTGCTGTGAGATACCACATTCATGAAATGCAAAGGCTTTTCAAAAGTTGATAACTCTAATCAAAGCAAAAACCTCATGTAAATGTTCTTCCTGTCCCAAATCAATTTCTTGAGAGAAATACCATAAATGCATTTGGAAATTTCTTTTATATCTCCTGTTGTGAAATTAACCTAAATTACTTTGGTATTAGTAAGTAGAGACCCTATATATAGGAAGGTCCTATTCTGGGCCCCCACTACTTTCAGACATGGGATTCCTTGCTGATTTTGAAAGATTAATTATGTCTGCGTGTCCTATTTAAAATTTTGACTCATCTCCCATAGGATTTACTAAAAACACATTTTGAAGATCGTTGTGAAATAACATATTCATTTTAGTATTTTAAATAAGTGCAAGGCTGTTTTCTTTCTCATAAATATCAGTAGTCAGAAGACCTACCAAATGGCTTGGGAAATGGGTGTGGTTCAAAGACTGATGCTTCAAGATCTCTGGTCTGAATTTAGTCACAACCAGGAAGTATTGCTCCTTTTCCTGCTTGGGTCCTCCTTAGGAACTTTTCACAGCAGCTATATAAAAAATCCAGATGGCTGCCACGTGGTCCTTACCAGTGAGAGGCTGAGCACAGCACACTGCATGAATGGGGATGAGATCCTTTCTAAATTAATATAGAATTAGATTACTTGGACCTCAGCAGAAGTTCAAGCCTCAGAGTCTGCATCATATGTATTTTGTATATGGGCATATATTTGAAATTAACATGGCAATTTATGTGTGCCTTTTTTTGAAATATACTATTTTAATTGAAAAGATTATGTAGAAATACTAGATGCATTTTCAAAAACACCCGTAATTCCACCATCTTGACGTTAGTTTGTTCACTTTTGTGATTAGAGTTCAATATTTTATATAGATGTAGCCTTAGTGTACATATTATTTTATATTCTGCTCTTTTCACTTAAAATCATATAACCTAGTATTTTTTACTCATTTCATGGTATGCTTTTATATCATTTTTCTCTTAGATACAGAGTTTGTAAAAAGTAATTAAAACAGTATCAGAATTTTATTGTTCATATTTTGTATGAAGAATAAATTAATCTCCAAATTTAAGTTAAAAAGTGATGGTTTAACGCAGTAATTTAATCAATAATAATGTTTTTTGACCCAATGTTGACTGAAGTGTTTATATTTTGGTTAATTTCTAAAAGTGGCAAAAATCTATTCTGTTACTTGGAGATTTTTCTACTATGTTTAGAATCCAAAATAGATTATGATTTCAGACTTTGAAACTCAGTAGAAAATATAACTATTGTTAAGGAAATAGAAAAGAAAAATAAGTGATGAAAAGCAAAGAAAATGATAGACCTTTTGTGTTATGGAAAATTAACTTGCTATTCCTGTTGGTGCTATTATGTCAAGTTAGTTATCTCACATGTGACATTCATTAAAAAGCATTTCTCTTGGTGAATCCTTGGAACATTCCTGTGTGGTAGCTCTGTCCTTGCTCCGGTTCCAAAGAAGAAGAGACTGAACACTTGCCCAAGTTTAAGTCTTCAGCAAGTAGAATTAGACCGAATATTTATAATACCTCTTTCTAACATATTAGGCCACATGACCATATTTTAATTCAAATTAAACCTTGCACTATATTGAAAGTAGAAAAAGTATTAGACTGGAAAACTATCAAAATATCCCTTTTTGATTCAAGGTCTATCTCCAATCAATGAAGCATGTCTGCAGTTGAGGACCACATTCTGGGATGTGTGGCATCCTGTTAGCATGACTGATATAGCTTGGTCATGCATCCCAGGAACAGTGAGCAGAAAGTTTTATCAGAGAGGACAGTTTTCTGACTTCCAGAACTTTCCCTGGGAAGAAGAAAGGAGGAAACCAAGGCGCAAAAGCAGTTATTTGCATATGGTTAGAATTATGGGTTGGGAAATAGCCAACATATGTTTTTCTGGGTATCTTTTATATCCAGAGTGGTGGCTGCATAATTTATTGTCCAAAGTGGGACATTTTTGAAAGTGAAAGGAGAGCGCTATTAATAATTACACTATGACAACAGGTATAAACTGGGATCATCCCTGGCAAACAGGGACATATGGTTCACTCTAATTATAGCACATCATAACCTTGTTCACTCTCTTGAGCACATTAGAGATGATGATGTCAGGCAGGCAACTGAGTCACCAGAAAGCATTCCCCAACATAGACATCTGTCTCAGCAGGTGTCTTTTTATCTACCCATGGCTGGTTGAAGGAAGCTCATTTTTGGCATTTACACCCCCTGCTTAGCTCAGAACTGTTTTTCTTAGGCAAATTGTGATAATATCAGCACACACAAGCACCAGAATTATTAAGACTCACTAATCTTGTAGTGCTTTGCCTCTTGGGTAGCTGTGATCAACCCAGTCCTGGACTTTTGACTGGTATGTGAGATGAAGTAGCCAAGAAATCTTTCCCCAGAGACATCTTTTCCTATAAAAGGTGGAAAGTGAATGGCCTGGCTCTATAGTATTGGTCTGAAGTGCCACTTACAGAGGGAGGGCTGGGCTTAAAAGAAAACTAGGGACAAGGGAAAGAGAGGCCAACTATCCTTGTCCACAGTTCCCCTCCCCCATCCTCCTCCTCCTCCCCTCATTTGATTGCGGTCATGGTGCTGCCTGACATCTGCTGAACGCATTTGGCTCATTTCTCCCTTTCACACTTTCAAAAATAGATCCTCGTCCCTCCCAAGATGTTGTTTACACGAGGGACTTCATAACGGATTCTAACGGAAGACACTGAAAAGGTAACTTGTCAGAGGGGGAGAGGGTGGCTGCTGTGGGGGTAGGGTTTAAGTGGGAATTCAGGGTGTTTGAGAAAGTGGGGGTTACAGTCCTAGAAAGGTAGGCAGTGAGGTCGTCAAGTGGGGAATACTGTTGGAAACCAGAGCTGCAAGAAAATGTGTCCATAAAATCAAGAGTAGTGTGATAGTGAGCACGGCTCTCCAAAGCTTGCTGGGCACATGGATCACCAGGATCGTGTTACCCTGCAGGCTAAGAAGAAGGCAGGGCTGGGACTCTGCATCTCTGACTTGCTCCCAGGTGATGCCGGTGCTGTTGACACTCGGTGCACACTTCCAAGAGTGAGGCGTTAGATGACTGTACGGTAGGGGGGCAGGGATTGGAAGAACTATGTTCTTGTCCTGGATCCCGTTAATCCTCAGACTAGTCCGATCATTGATTTGTTACATAGCCTTGTATCTAAAATTGAGCTAGCAATAGTTTCCCTATTGCATATCTCACAGGGGTGTTTAGAACACTAGGTAAACAATGTGCATTTCAAAAAAGAAATACAAAAATTCTTATGACAATAGGAAGATGCAAGAGGCTTTATATATAAAAACATTTCTAGAAAGTAAAGTTAAAAAGCAGAAGAATCATGGAAAATGTAGCACAAACTGAAAGCTTACTAGAGAAACATGGTCCATGTGTGTCCACTTTAGGAGCTAAATACACATGTAAAAAAATCAAGAACAGAAGTTAGAAATGATTATTTCAATTGCAAAAGATGACTTCTGAAAGAATTTATGGGATCGGTCATTAAAAGTAAATTTTCCTAGGAAATCTGGTTTTGACTTTTCTTAAATGAAGCAAGTGTACCATCATTGTTCTTGCACTGACAATAAAACAAACCAAAAGAGGCCTCCAACCTCTATGCATCACAATCGCAAAACCCGTGAACTCTACAGCCTTTCAAAATATCCCGAGCTGGTGAAATCCTAGGATCTCAGGAAGACTCCCAGACTTCTTAGGCTGACAGATTTGTCTTTGGGGTGAAATTTTAAACAGCTTGTCATCATTTGTCCAAAAGGGCCAAATAGAAAACAAAGTTAAGAGTTGAAAATTGAGTCAGGTATTATTTTTTCCCAAACTATCCTCAATTGTCTTGTGATTTGTGGGATTTACACTCTGGGTGTTTAGAAAGCAGAGGGGCAGATGTCTATAAGTTTCCTGGCTTTAAAATCATACCATGAATAGTATTTTCTGTACTTTCTTGGTGTTTGGCAATCATTTTAACACACTTTTTTTCCCCTCACAACAGTTATTCAGGATAAGTTGAAATGATCAAAAATGATTTGTCCCCTGTGAAAACAATACTCTAACCCTGCTGGCAGTTAGCATTCTGCTGTCTATGGCTGAGCTGCATCTGCTAGGGATCTCCAAATAAGGAGATGGAAAAATTTCAGGCTGACTTAAATGTGTCAGCTCTATGCAAGTCCCAGTGCAGACTTGCTGAATCAACAGATGGGATACAAGCATTTCTTTTTCATCTCTAATTTCTCAGTGTGCTTTATTCAGCAATGTAGTTTCTTGGTCACAGGCACAAAGAGCTTTATTAAAAACTAAATAGAAATGGTGCTTTAGTCAAACCCCATAAACTCAATCCCAGGACTCAGTTCATGTCTGTACCCTGCTTACAAAAATAAATGGTTCTTACTCAGAAGGCAAGACCAACAGGCAGGACCTCTGGTTGTTGTTCAGCAGGCTCTCGGTTGTTGTCATGTGCTTAATCTATACAGATCACCTACTTTCAAGCTCACTTTTTTGTCCCAGGAAGCTTAATCCCATATGGATTAAAGATTAAGGAGTGGTCATTTTATATGGTCTGAAAGGCCCTGTAAATTGGTTGAGAACAGCTAACTACCCTCATCAGTTTATGCCTTGTGAGAAAACATTTCAGGGTTCTCTTTTTTTTCCTGAAGCAGATCTTTAGAAGTTTCCATGACGTGGGAAACAGGTGGTCATGAATAGTCTTTCAGATTGGCAGCCACTCAAGGCTCTTTTGCATCTGTTGTCATTTTAGGAAGCAGATTCTCTCCATCTTTCTTCTAATGCCATTTTTAAAGCATGACTAAGCTACCCTCAGAGTACCCGCTCATTAATTCTGCCTTTTCTGACCTGTAACAAGTCTTGCTTGTCACTGGTATGTCAAAGGACTGCTCTCTGCTTGCCTAAATGTCACTTTTAGCTTAAATTGAGAAATTAGACTCATGTTAAACTACTGGAGGGAGAAAAAACTTGTAATTCTTTAATAGGTATACAAAATATCATTGGAATTCCTATTTGCAGTAGTATGTATTTTAAGCATTTGTTAAGAGGCTGTGAGTTAAGATGACCTCTGTCCTTTTATCCTACTTCTTAGGGATATGGTATGCTGTAATAAGTTAGATCAATTTTTGGATGTTTATAACTTTCCTAAACATTTATCAAGTGAAAAATATTATCACTTATCAAGCTCCTAGGGAATTCTAAAATTCATTCATTAATATCAACTGCTTTTTTTATCCTCACACCTCACTAACTTGAGGGATACCTATAAGGCATTGTCACAGACTCACTAATACAATGGTGTGCTTTGCAGCACCACCGTAGAATCAGACAAAGGCACTGATCTCTATTGCGGAAATGCAGACTACCATTTATGTGAAAAATGCCCTGGTGACTATACAATCTCCTGTGCAATATATAATTCTAATTCCTGTTAATTTGTTTTTGAGTTAGAAAGTGGATCAACATTCATCTTATTTGAGATATTACTGTCTGGCCTGTGTTAGAGGAAGAAAGTCAATATTTCCAGGAAGTGTGTTACCATATTAAGTCCTCAGACTAGAATATCAGAGGATGAAGTTGATGGACTATGAAGTAACTACAGCAAAAATGGTTATATAATAAACAAAATGACAATCACTACTATAGTAGATATTTCTGGAATATCTTCAGTAAACTGAAATAATCCCTCAAGATTCCAATTCCCTTGTCTGCTAGGAAAACGGAATGTATCTTTGGTTATCAAAGAAAATGTGAATTTCTATGAAATAGGACTTTGCTTGTCCAGAATCTCAAAGATAGAGAACACATCCCTCAGAAAATCAGGCTAAGTATGTAAAAGTACAACACTCCATAATCCACGACAGTCTATAATTTATTACCATCAGAGAATTTTGTTCTTTATGCTCTCTCATGAAGTCTTAGCTTTCTGTTTTCCGAAGCTATCCAATTTTATTCTTAGTACTTCATAAATAATACAGATAACTCACAATTCCAGGCTCTTTCTTATGTGTTTAAAATAGTACTAACCACGTACCATTCTTAGGGCTCAATTTTCTCAAAGAAATCTCACTGAGAAAGGCTGATTTAGTTGGTTTCATAATAATCCATGATTTAGGTACATTTCCCAAATCCAATTGTCTCTTTTCTTAGCTACTTAGACCTTTGGGTTCTTGATATATCCCAGAAATTTCCTGAGTATAGGTTTAACAGATTTGAATATATTTCTGGTAGAGTTTTGAATGCAAGCATGTAATTCACATAGGAACCAAATGATAATATGTATATGGGTTTTGAAAATAAATGACATTTCTTGGTGCATGCATTCTAAAACCAAAAACAAAACCTTTGCCCTATTTTAATGGGTTGTTATGGTCATTTATCTCACTCCTAATTTAAACCTACCTTAACTGTGCCCCTGTCCTTTGATAGACAGTGGTAGAAGTGATAGTCTTTTCTATAAGTCATAATTGTACTAATATTTGTTCATTTTTTACTGTGAAAAAATATTTTTTGATGGATCCAAGAATATGCAATCATCAGCCCCTGCTTTTGTCATGTCCTCCTGATTTTGTTCTTTCTATTAAGACACAAAATTAACAGTAAGGACTAGTTTCTAAGAATAAAAGCATGTTGGTAAGATTTTTAAAGAAATCACTACTCACAGAAGAATGACAGAGATTAATGACATTGAACAGGAATCAGTTTAATCATATTATATCAGGATATTTCTCAGTTATATGTCTATTTATTGAATACCTTATTGAACACCAAATCTGTGCTAGATATGGTGTCAGCCACATTTGAGTATACAGTTGTAAACAAGGCAGATGTGGTGTCTGATCTATGGAGTTATAATTGAGGACAAGGATAGATACTAAAACAAATTATTAATTAAAATTGAATTTAGGTGCTTTAGGAGAACCTAGTCTTGTCTAAAGGGTTAAGATCATCTACCCAGAGATGATAAGAGTAAAGCAGGCAAATATAAAAACAGAAGAAAGTAGGATTCTTTTGTAAATCTTTGAATCTTTCTTCTTCTGCCATAATACACACACACACACACACACACACACACACACTAGTGCTATGGATTATAAATTAAAGATGCATATTTATGGAAAGATCAAGTGATCTGGGCCTAATTATATTTCTCTAAATTACTTTTCCTAGAGCAATTGCTAGTAACTGAGCTGAAACAGGCTATTATGAGTCTTGACTATGTGCTGTCCCAAATAAGGATCAATGATATATTCTATTTGTAGAGTAGCTTTAGTCCTCTCTCTTTCTGATCTTGTCACTTGATCCCCAGAACCACAAACTCCTGTGTGCCTGACAGAATTCCATTGGAATGCAGGCAACCAAAAAGCACATGTCATTCCATTTATAAGTCTATCTCATTCCAGCCCTCAGTTGAAAGGGATTTTGCTAATCTTGGAAACAACTAGAAACATTTTCATTTAATTAAATGAGTCCCCTTTTAACTGTTTCATATAAAATAAAGGATAATTTGCATCTAAGTCTATGAGACCATTTCTTTTCTCTTCAAAAGAGATGCATGGATGCAATTAATAGAAACCCGCCGATGATAAATTTGTGTCCAGCAGTGTCCCGAGGTCTTAATTACAGTCTCTGACAATGAAAAACAACTTCAGGTTTTCTCGGCAATAAATACAGTGAGAAACAGTTACCTCTGAGGTAGGAATGCTGAAACTGGAGCCTTTGGTAGTTTATCTAGGAGATTTAAACATTTCCAAAATAACTAACCCAAAAGGCAGTGTGTGCTACTCAAGTACTTTTGAGGAGAGGTTTTGATATCAAGGCCAGTCGGGATAGGAACCTCTTGATTCAGCAATGCTTGGTGCTGTAGAGCACTAATCAAGAAAGGCAGAGAAGTTACCTTAGGTTGTTTAACTGGTTCTCCAAGCAAATTATTTACTATGGTATTTATTGATTATCTAAAATGTGGTAGAATTAAGGTCAGCTACCTAGAATGAAGAAGCAAAATTCCCTTTAATTTTCAGATGCCTGCTTCTCTTCCTCGCTGCTCGCAGAGGCTGGCGATGTAGTCAGGAAGAGAGATTAAATGCGGTTTTAATTAGTCAGCTGGTGAAACACCTGCTATTCAACTTCAGCAACTTTCTTCTCTCACCCCAGAAATAAATCATTACTCACTGCATCCAGCACAGCAAATACCTCTCCCTCCCCTTGTTTCACTCTCCACCATTTCCCCCTGCCCTTCAAAACACGGCCATTCTTTTCCAAGGTCCTTAGACTAATGGAAAGCGGGGGCTGGAAGGGACCCTAGAGGTCATCCAGTCCAAACCCACCCGCCCCCACCTGCCCCCATCCTGAGAATTCATGCATCTGGGGCACAGACTTGCAGCTTTGTGAAACTAATGCCTGTTATTCTCCCTGCTCTCTCCTTTGTCCCTACAGTGCCATGGCTACTTACTCTGCCACATGTGCCAACAATAGCCCTGCACAGGGTATCAACATGGCCAACAGCATTGCCAACCTGAGACTGAAGGCCAAGGAATATAGTTTACAGAGGAACCAGGTGCCAACAGTCAACTGAGGAAAATAAATAATTAAACAGGCCTAAGAAGAAATCAAAAACCATAAGACACCTATCCTGCTCTATCATTTCTTCATCTGCTGGGGAAAAAAAAAGAGTAAAAACAAACAAACAAATGAAAAACAGAACTAAAATATTGGGACCATGGCAGAGAAAAGCAGGAGAGGAGCAAAATGAAAATTAGTTAACAAGTGTTCCTCCTCCCTTTGGGATACCACCACCACTTGTTTCTGTGTGTGTTTATTTTGTTTTTCCTTCTATTCATGCTTTGCTTAATATACTCTGAGCTTCTTCAGTTAGGTTCAGCCCACCCACCCCCATAATTATGTTTTAAAAAACTCTGCAGCAGCCAAGAAGCCATATATATATTTAGAATGATTGCCTATAGCTCCTCACTGACCTGTTCGAAACTCGGTGTCTTTCCCTGTCCTCTTCCCAGTTCTCTGTGTAGAAGCTCTAGGAACTTTTGAAAAGCCAAAGTTTTTCTGAAGAATCTGTGCCAGATATGATTCCCTTTCTCATTGCCTTCATCTCTGTTGGTCACGGTAAGGTTTTTCCACCAGCTAGTGGGAAAGAAAAAATTGTGTACAACATCTGGTCACTGGCCTATCTGATTCAAGGTGGTTGGCTGTGTCTGGCTAATTCTAATATTTAAGCTCTAGATTTAAGCTCCAGATCTAAGCTCTAGATTTAAGCTCTAAGCTATAAATTATAATATCACCATCGTCACCACCCCTCACCCCCATCCAGACATCTTAAGTTAAAGATATTTGTTGTCTTTGAATGATTTGTTGTCACTGAAAGATTTCTTGTCACAGGCTATTTGGCAGAAGAAATATTTTTCACTTGAGAGAGAGAAAAATTTCTCTAGGAAAACAAAGACTAAGTTGGCCTACATCTCTTTGGTGCCTTAACAGTAGTCAGACGCACACATATATATACTGTATATATTTATATATTTTATATATAAAATATTGCGAGCTGTTTGCAGTTCCTCAAACACTACAAAAAGCAAATTTTATACCATCACCACTGTTCTTATCTCTATAATGATGAGACTTGCTAATTATGGATCTTGCTTATTTTCTTTTTTCTATGCAAAATTCTCATTAAGGCCACAGAGCAATTGATAGGGCACCTTTTTTGAGAACAGGTTTTATTTTCACATTAAGACTTTCAATGAATTAAAAAACTATTTGAGACTACAAAAATGTCCTTGAGTCTGGAGCCTGAGCTCTGGGGAATGCTGATCTGTCGTGGGAATTACATCCTGATCTATCATGGGAATTAAACTTAGAGAGAGGAGGGAAAGACATTTAGTCATCTGCTTTCTCCACTCAACAAGAATCTAAAAGACACCTGTTAAAGTGGAAAACATATAGGTTTATCTAAATTCCAAAAATTTAAAAGGCAATCATAGGCTATTTTTATTTTTTAATGTTTTGAATTAAATTTGAGCATCTAGAGTTGGGAGCCAGGACTGATCTTTCTTTCCTTCTTCCTCTTTGTTCCCAGCCATGCTTTTGTAACTTGCCAGGTGGACTTGACCAAACCACATTACCATGTGGTGCCTCAGTTTACCTTTTTGTAAAATGGGTTTAATAATACTTACCTACCTCACAGGGGTGTTGTGAGGCTCTATTCATTTGCTCCTTTATTTTTTCCTGTATTCTCTGGATGTCCAGCACTTTGTAGCCTTGAGAGAAAAGGGACTATAAAAGTATACAATGTTAATGGAATGATACGGTACCTAGAAGCCTTGTTTTCTAGTAAGGAAATGCTACCTTGCTATATGTACTTACCACCTTGTATTTGCAAATGAGAAATAGGTTTATATTTTCATATCTCTCAATAATCACATCATTTGACTGAAGAATAACTTAAGATACACAGAGCAGATATAAGTTTAACTTATATTCTCATCCTGACCAGGTTGGTTCTAATAATTTTAGTTATCAGTGATTAAAAAGCTTTAGATTGATTTTGGCCAAATATGCCAATTTTGTACTGTGAGTAACAGGCAAGGAATTTTTGTTTTAAGATGCACTTTTAGCACATATGTGTATTTGCCTTGGCATATCAGATTGAGCTAATGGTAATATATTTTCAGTCTAACAGCCACCAATCTGAAAATGTGTTTCAAATATTGATTCTGTACTTCTTTCAATAGTGAGAAGAAAGTCCATCTTACGATTTTACTTTCACCAACTGATTCCCTCTTCTTTTAACCCACTATTAAAATCTTTCTTACTGAATGGTTCATGTAGGCTGGCTGAACAACACACATTACTTGGTTCCTAGACAGTTCCTCGACACATTCTTTTGTCCCATTAGTTGCTGCGGATTATCAAGTTTCAAAGGAATAGTACATCCTAACAGACTTAAACATTATTTGGTTTGTGAAGTGAGTGCAATCCAACAAATTGGTGAACTTTGTAGGTTTGGAGTTTGGGGAGAATGGCTAAAAAAGGATTTGGGTTATAGGCAGGGAACAGAAACCATACATGAAAAGGCTTTGCTAAAAAAGGGGAAGTCTTAGGAGAGGGAGTAAAGAGACAGAGAGTCATGTGAAATAAAGTCATTTGAAACTTTATCCAACATTCATTTCCAATGGTGAGCAGAAAAGCCTAAACCCAAGAACCTGGATGGTAGGTGAAATTAGGTGGTTTTATCCAATGCCTTGGGCAAGTGATGTCTGGGAATAGCGAAGAGTAACCAGTGCTGGTCACACATAGGTACATTCATTGCTGGTGAACCAGTACTACAAGCTTCTGTTATCTAAGCACTTGATCAAGACGTATGCACATACATAGTACAAGCACTCAGTTTTGCTCATTTATTATATTTTTAAAAAATACAAGTTTGATATGTGATTTGGAGGAACCGCCTTTTAGCTCTTAAGCTGGTTGTTAGCAGAGGGCCTCAGGGCCACAAGCTTCAAGGCATACCCCCAGTAGTCACCATCATTATGTCATTATACCCAGACACAGATGAATACATACAAACTGTCTGTGTCCCCAATACCTCCCCAAACAAGATGACGATTTATAAGGTACTTGGCAGGTTAAATTAAACCAGAAGAGATGACCTAATAAAAAAAGGGAATGACATTTAGGGTATAAAGATCTCATAAGAAATGTAATATGTAAATTATATCTCGCTTTATGATGTAAAATGTACATTGTTTGCGCTAGAATAGAAATGATTCCTTTTCAATAAAAAGAAGGATACTATTATGTCTTTTGTTATGTACATTTGTGTCTGCTGATTCTTTTCTCCTTGAACTTCAAAAACACAGATCTGCTAGAATCTGAGATTACATTCAGAGTAGGGAAGGTAAGAAAGGTTTGTAAACAAGAGAACTTTTATCAGAGTTTGATATTTCCTATAAAAAAGGAAAATAATCTACAGTTTCTGGAAAACAAAGACACTGGTGGGAGGAAGAGGGGACATTTATTAGTATAATGGGCAAGTAGAGAGTGGAACTTTTATGAGTTTAGCAATTTTTTGACCAACTTCTTTAGCATCCACAATTTTAGATACCATACGACAGGAGACTTCATATAAGCCACAGCTACTGATTTTAAAGTAAAGAAGTAGCAAAATAAAAAAGAAATTTAAACACGCATTGTGCATAGCATGGCGTGACTGGCAATGGAGAGAATGAGAAAAACCAAATTGTGAGACACAGATTCTGTTTTCACCAATTAAAATCTGGTTTAAAAGACAACTCTGGCATGGAAAAATTTATGCAATAGTTCAAGACAATAAAGTAATGAGGGAAAGCAAATAGTGCAGACAGAAGGCATCCAGAATTGCAAGAAAGAAAGCATTGTGAGCTGGAGTGGAAGAAGGGTTTTACAGAGGAACTGGGACTTGAGTTTCATCAGCAAAGATTTGGACAGGTAAAGAGAGGTGATAGCCTTTCAAATGGGGAAGTGGAGAATAAGAGATGAAGGCAGGGATACAAGAGTGACGAATCTGTGTTCAGGGAACCATGGCAAAATGGGCCCTGATGAGATGTAGAGTTTATTTTAAAGCAGAGAGAAAGAAAATACTGGAGACTGAAGTTGAGCCTTAATTTTGCAGGGTATTGCATGCCAGATGAAGGAGTTTGGATTTTTCCTCATGCTACAGAGATCCATTGAAGGTTTTTATGCAGAAAAATAATTCCATGCAAAAAATGTTACTTTTGCAGGATTATTCTGCTAAAAGAATGAAGGTAAACTAGAGCAGAGCAGGAACTGGAAGCAGGTCAGATAGAGGTTGCTGCAAGGGGAACAAAAAACAAAGGAGGAATAGGAAACTTTTGCAAAGAAAGAATAAGACTTCATGGCAAGAAAAAAAGAATGGAGTAAAAGAGAATACTAGTGTGAAACCTGGAGACCTGAAGGATGAATCACTGAAAAGACTGACAAAAAACAACAAAAATGGGAGAGACCCAGATGCAGAAAAAGATAATTTCAGTTTTAGATGTCTTATTGAACCTGAAATTCCAAATATGTCTGGTGAGTGAGGACATGTCAATGGGACTTGGTTCCAAAGTCAAGGTTGGAGATGTAAGTTTGAGATTAATCTCGAGGAGGTGACACTTCGAAGTATAACAATGAATGGGTTCTTTGAGATGAGAAAGTGTCATTGTGACTCAAATAATTATTTCTGATAAATGGCTTTTGGAAGTAGTTTCAGTCAGAGAGGAATATCGGACTTTGAAGAACATCTATAACTGAGAGGATGACTGAAGTCAATTTAAAAGGAGTTGTTTGAATAATAGGAGGAGAATCAAGCATATTTATTATCCCAGAGTAGAAGAGAAGTTTTCAAAAGGAAGGGGATATTTAATATGCTCAAGTGCTGTAGAGTAGACCAGCTAGTTGGGGATGAAGAAAAGGTCATTGGATTAATGACTTTCAGGAGAACAGTTTACTAGAGTGCTGGAGAAAGAAGATTGATTTAGCAAGTTATGGTAAGAATAAGTGCTTTAAGAAATGGAAGCAGTGGCTCTAGACCACTTGTTTGCCATTATAAGCTTATTAATAAGGATTCTTTCAGTTGCAGTTAGCAGAAACCTATTCAACTAGTTAGAATTATAAAGAGGCTTGATTTGAAGAACAGCTCACACAGCCAAGACATGCTTCCAGAGCCGGAACAGCTACAGGGATCCTAGACTCTGAAACAAAGCCCATACCTTGTTTTAGTTCAGGCTGCTATAACAAGAAGCCATGGACTGGGGAGCTTAAACAGCAGACATTTATTTCTCACAGTTCTGGAGGCCAGGATGCCAGCAGATTCAGTATCTGAGGAGGACTTTCTTCCTGGGTTGGCCCTCTTTTTGTTGTAGCCTCACAGGGTGGAGAGAGTGAGCCCTACAAGAGAGAGTCCTTCTTATAAGGACACTAATCCCATTATAGGGGCTTCCCTCTCAGGACCTCATCACAACTTCATTACCTCCCAAAGACACCACCTCCTAATGCCATCCCATTGCGGGTTAAGGTTTCAACATATGAATTTGGGAGGGATACAAATAAGCAGTCATACCCTCAGATTGGTTAAGGCTTGCATGCACCCTACCCTGAGTCCCACCCACATCTCTGATTGTGCCCCTCCCCTGGGAAAAGAGTCTGTGGGGTCATTTGAATGTGCCCACATGGAGCCTGTACCCCCAATTCTAGACCACCATACAGGCACTTAAGATTTGGAATTCTCCAAACAAATTATCCCAAGCCCACTTTCAGGACATGCTTAGGCCCATTCTCCTGGTTTGTACTATTGAGGGGCAGCCAAGGGGTCAGTTTGTGGGAGTTGAGGTGTGCAGGTGGACCTGGCATATGCATGCTATAGCTGTCACACACATATACACACGTACACTTTCGGTGCAGGATGGGCTGGGGTGAGAAGAGAAGGAGGCAGCCTGCAGGCCGGCGGGTAGGTTCTGACCCTCCCCATACTGCCATGTTCTGGAAAGGAACTCCAAACAGCCTAATAATTCTAACTGCAAACCTGGATTTGCAGGTCATTCTGAAGGTATGTTTGTGAAAGTAGGAGAGTAGAACATAATTTGCTTAGCAGTTTGTTAGCTTGATTTAATAACATAAATATGTAGACATAAATACGCAGACTTTCAATTTGTACTGCTCCCTGGGCACTGGACTTGAAGAGGCGTTCACGTTCCAGGATTCTCTCTTTTCCACCTGTTTTCACCCCTTATTTTTTTTCTTCTCTTCATTCTTTCCAGCTGATCAGTTTTTGAGCAGACAGAAACTATGGCTGATGACAGCTTTAGATTCACATTCTTGCAAGGAGGCAAGGAATTTCCATGCTGGTTCTAAGTAGAACAATCCAGGGGAAAGATTCTGATTGGCCTGGTTTGGGTTATGTAGCTTTTCCAAATCAGCACTGTGGTCAGGGAGTTGTCCTATGATTGGCCAGACAGTTTCATATGGGATCCTCTGATCAGCAGATCCATTAATACCTTGTGCAAAAGGTTATGGAGCAGAAGCAGCCTACTACAAGAACAGGAAATGCTATTACCAGAAGGGAAGGGACAATGGGCTAACAAAAGCAACCTGGATCCAACACATTCCATGCTGGGCTTCCCAGCACATACCCCACCTTTTCCCATTCATAATTCCTTCACCTAACCTGACACTAGTAACACCCTAAATCACTTGTTCAGGAATTTGAGGCACATGTATTTTTCAATCAGATCTGTAGGTGGTTTCTTATGATCCTGCAATCTACAGTTAAATTTACTCAAACCATCCCTGATAGGCATGGAGAAGAGAGGCTCACAACAATAAAATTCCCATTTAGGGAAAAGAGGAGGGGAAATGATGTATAGTGTTCACTTGTCTGTTGCAGATGACACTAGGAACATTGAGGACTCACTTCCTTGACAACACAGTGAGTTCCTTGGCCAGTTAATCCACCTGTCCCTGCTTCTTCCTACTTCAACCTCTGCTCTTCAACATATGCCCTCCATGACCAGGCCTGGGGGAGGGCTCCCCTGAGAGCTGCAGAGCTCTGGCATTCCAGTGGATGAATGACATACACCTCCTTTAAGACCTGGCTTGGCTGCCTTTTGATTCAATTTCCAGAGATTCCATAACTAGAAACCAATGCCAAAAGATGTTGAGTCATAATTCTTGAATATGAACCCAGCCCAGTCCCACTTTTTAAAAAAATTCTTGACAGGACTCAGAGATCCGCTCATCCCAAGGACCTCAATTTAAAGTCTTCATTCTAATCTTCTGCCTCTGGATAGAATGATAGAAGAGTTTGGGGCAAAGTTAATCTGCCCATATCCTCAGGCAGCTCCCAGCAGATTGTGATTTACAGATGATGTTATACAGCCTTACATTGTAACAGGCCTCTGGGTATGGGGAAGGGGGACAGCAGGAGAGGTCTGGGAAGGGGCCAAGAGAGGAGACTTCCAGTCATTTATCTAGCTCCTCTCAAGCCTCAGTACTTTCCAAAGTACTTTCTGCCTTTGCTTGAAAAGGGAGAAATGCTTTTGCAATTTGGCAGATTCTGACCCTCGATCTGACCCTGAGCAGTCTTGGAGAGCTGGCTTTGGGTTGAGATCCTCTGGGTTTTCTAAACTACCACAGGTCATCTAGTTCTAGATTTGAAGGCCTAAAATTAGAAACACTCCGTTTTCACCTATCAATTTCTACTATTCAGTTCAAGCACATTTCAGCAGCAAGTGGCAGAAATCCAACTCCAATTAGGTTAAGATGTTTTAATCAGAGGATTTATTAGATGGATGGGGGGCAGTAGTCTCAGAAGGAAAGGAAGAGTAACAGGAATCAGAGTAACTCTGAGAACCTCCAGTACTGAACCTGAGGCTTGATGTCACTAGGCCTCTGTCTCCCATCTCTGCAGGCAAATTTTCTCCATGTAGTAGGAAAAGTGGCTTCTGCAAGATGCAAACTTACATCATTCAGCTTTGGAAGAAGAATCTTGGAAATAAGTAAATTTTATAATAATCCTGAGAGAGGATTCTATTGCTTTGGCTTGGTTTATGTACATCCATGACCTGACCACCATGCCCTGGAGGAGGAGGTGTACTGACTAGCCAGACCAGGGTTGCCTCTCTAGATTAGACATTGCTTGAGCACCAGTGCAACTCCTCTTGTCCCTACCTGTAGCCCAGTCACTACAGCAGCACCTGGTCCCAGGGTATTTCCACCAGCCTTAAAGACAGAACCTCAATTAAACCATTACATAAATGCTCGCCACTTTGGTCTATG